ACGTCTTATCTTTTAGGCCACGACGACTTCTAGATTCAGCGAAGCACTGCTCTTGCTAGAACTAGTGTAAGCCAGTTCTCTTAGAGCCCTGTTAGCTCACCCACTAAGTCGCTTGTACTTGGAACAGTCTAATAAGCTACAAACGATTAGGTAAGGGAAAAAAAAAGTGAACAACATTTTAGTGGATGCCTGATCTTCAAATACTCAAGTGAACGTTGCAACGAAAACCGATGGTGTTTGAAATAGGGACAGAACGAAATGTATTATTTTAAGTGGTAGTGAAGTATGAAGTCGTCATGGCCTAAAGGATAAGACGTCTGGCGCATTCGTGTTGAGCGATGCACCGGTGTTCGAATCCCGCAGGTGGGTACCAATTTTTCTAATGCAGTAATTTCTGCGAAGCAGTAATGCGTTTCGGTTTGAAGGGTGGGGCAGCCGTTGTTACTATACTGAGACCTTAGAACTGATATCTCAAGGTGGGTGGCGCATGTGCGTCGTAGATGTCTATGGGCTCCAGTAACCACTTAACACCAGGTGGGCTGTGAGCTCGTCCACCTATCTAAGCAATAAAAAAAAAATTGTCCGTTCGGCTCATTGTTTTACGTAGTTTTGTTCACGAATGAGGTCTTTGAATCAACCAGCGTCGTCGTTATGAAGACGAAGGTAGTTCCTTCGAATTTTTTTATCGCTTTTATCGTTTTCCTTTCGATTGATATTGTAAAGTAACTATTGATAATGCGTTCTATAGTTTCATCTGTTACTCGAGTCGTAGATATAATTACCACTCTATCGACCGATAGCCGTATTGACTTTTAGCTGTGGACGGTTTTCGTCCTGTGAGATTGACTGCTTTAACCGAATACATTTTTTTTTATTGCTTAGATGGGTGGACGAACTCACAGCCCACCTGGTGTTAAGTGGTTACTGGAATCCATAGATATCTACAACGTAAATGCGCCACCCACCTTGAGATACAAGTTCTAAGGTCTCAGTATACCTAGTTAGAACGGCTGCCCCACCCTTTAAACCGAAACGCATTACCACGGCAGAAATAGGCGGGGTGGTGGTACCTACCCGTGTGGACTCACAAGAGGTCCTACCACTAAGTAAAGTTAAGTTGTTCCTCTTTCAATTTTTTTCTACATTTAACCGATTTTGATGATTTTCATTATTTGAAAGATGCCTCTCGTGTTGTCTCATTATCAATTGTCATCAAGTTCTTTGTATTTGTTTTTAACTTGAATTTGACTGACAATGAATTTTTAATATGGCTTCGACCATATTGACGGTATTCTTAAGTTCATTTCTTTGATACGATTTTCTTTTTTATTAAAATTTCTTATTATGCTAGTAGCCGTTTGTGTACTCCTCCATATTATTGCATAGTGATTAAAAGCGCGCGAGAAGCCAATCCTTCCTGAGCGGCAGCCACGACCGATCGATGAAGTGCTAAGACTACTTTTAAGCAGTAATTAAAACGGTTTATTCAAGTTTAATATTTGCACTTACTAATCTCTGACGTTCCAAGTACTGAACAGGTTTCATGGTCACGCCCACTTCGATAAAGCGGCATGACATGAGAACCCTCTCATCGTGGCCGCTGGTAACTACATTCCCGATCCTGCGGAAAGAATGGAAAGCAGTCGACGTCGCCCCAAACACGTCATTTCGGATCCTCCCGAACCACTAACGGTGCTTTTAGGTACCTCAAGCACCGGTCATCGTTCTCGTCGAACCCGTTGCCTGCGACGAAGGGCTCGACGAGTAAATTAACCCTCAGACACAGCCCACTAAGTTTCTCGCCGGATCTTCTCAGTGGGTCGCGTTTCCGATCCGGTGGTAGATTCTGCGAAGCACGGCTCTTGCTAGGGTTCGTGTTAGCAGCGTCATCAGGTTTGAGCCCCGTGAGCTCACCTACTAGTTAAGGCGATGCTGATATAGCCTCTCAAAGCTATAAGCTTAGGTAGGAAAAAAAAAAGGATAACTATGGTTGTCTTACCATGGTTAAATAATTCAAACAAATTGTCAAAGCTCAAAATGCCGTTACCTGCAAGCTTTGAACTTCGGGCTATCTCAACGCTCGACACAGGCTTCGACTCCTTACCGCAAGAGCTTTAAGTTGCTTTCCTAATGAATATCCATCGCACCGCCCGCCACCGTAGTAGAGTTCATCCATACTACCTGGAGCCACTGCGTTAATCCACAGTGCGTTTCCAGAGGTATTTTTTGCCACGTACTAACTAACTTTGGAATGAGCTCCTCTCTACCATGTTTCCCGAGCGCTATGACATGACCTTCTTCAAAGGAGGCTTGTGAAGAGTACTTAACAATAGCCAGCGGCTTGGCTCTGCCCCTGGCATTGCTGAAGTCATGGGCGACGGCAACCACTCACCATTAGGTGGGCCGTATGCTCGTCTGCCTACAAGGGCAAATAAAAAATTTGAGTGTTTCAATGTAATTTTTGTTTTGTTTTATCGTCTACTTTATAAAAGTTTATAAAACCCCGGGAATGATAAGACAAAATAATTCCCTAAAGCAGGGGGAGGTGCTTCCTAAATGGTTTCCGTGTCGGCTTACGTTTAAGGTTTTTTTTTTTTAACTTTTCTCCCCACCGAAGTGCGAGAAGCCGCATCAAATAAGCCTTAGAATACTTTATTTTGTAAACAAACTCTGTCTATTTGGATATGGTTGTTTTTTTCCCCACAAATTTATAGATTTTACCGTTAACACCTTCGCTCCGACGATATTTCTATCAGTGCGTAGCAGGTCTTTCTTGACCCACCAGCACTAGAGTAGATTAAAATGCTAATAAGTTTGTGAAAACATACTTTATACGATTTATAGCATAAAAGTTGTCGGTGTCGAACTCTCACTAATGACAGGGACGTGGTTTTCTTTAACCCCCCCCCCCACCCCCACAGCTGAAAGTAAGTATCGCGGCGGGCCGATTTGTGCCTCTGCAGTGAATGTGTTAATTGCTAAGCGAATTTCAACTCTTGTAATTAAACCTCGTACATCTTCACCGACGCAACCTGAAAGTTTTATATTCGGTAGATCGTCATGTCTTAGCTGAAATGAAAAGCTGTTCCACAGTCTTCCATAGGGCATATTCGAGTTCAATTTGTTCTGGTATGTTCTATAAGGAAAGCGTGGTGGAATGTTCGAGTTGATGTTATCACTCCATTTTAACGCAATACCTCTTTCAGCATTTTTTTAAAAAAAAAATTTTATAGCCTTTGTACGCAGACTGTCACACGGCCCACCTGGTAGTGAGTGGTTACCGTCGCCCATGGACTTCAGCAATGCCAGGGGCAGAGCCAAGCCGCTGCCTACCAAATTGCATAATTAATTAATGAGCAGAGACCAGTTCTACTGCCCATTAATTAATATAAAACTATTGAGTTTATCCGCAGTGCGTTTCCAGGTATTATTCGCCATGAAAGTACTAATAGAGGATGACCGAGCTTTGCTCGTTTTTCTTTTCTTTTTATAAATTGTGTTTTTTAGAATTTATATTTCAATACGAATTACATATTGATATTATACTAGTGGTCCCGCAGTAGTCGAAATTCGACTGTAATTAATTGAAATTATAAGTTTGAACATTATTATGGTTGTATTGTCAAGTATTTATTATACTTCTATAATCACAGATTTCGCCAAGACTACACTATAGACAAATAATATTAATTTATTCTCAATTTGACTACAGACTATAAGCAATAAGAATAGGTTGACAATAACCAAATAGTATGCATGCGTGTGTGTGTCATATATAAATAAAACCGTTGGAATATTTTTCATAGTTCCATATACTCCAAACTGACTAATAACTTCCTAAAGTTTCAAGTTATCTTTCGTGATCATGTTTTTTTTTTTCCTTGCCTACGCTGATAGCCTTGAGAGACTATTTCAGCTTCTCCTTGACGTTTAGGTGAGCTCACGGGGCTCAAGCAGGGAGTGCTGCTAACACTGGCCCTAGCAAGAACAGTGCTTCGCAGAATCTACTACCGGATCGGAAACGCGGCCCACTGAGAAGTTCCGGCGAGAATTCTATGGGTTAATTTATTCATCGAGCCCTTCGTCGCAAGCGACGGATTCGACGAGGACGGTGACCGGTATTTGAGTACCTAAAAGCACCGTTAATGGATCGGGAGGATCCGTAACGACGTTTAAATAGTGATTAGCTTTGCAACTGGCTAATCTTTGGGCTTAAACTCTATGGCCTATTTAAAAAAATAAACCAAAAAAACATACAGTATTTGTCATATTCTCCCGTGCCTGACTTACACGTTTATTTTGCTATTTACTTCCCTATCACTTGTCTTATTATCATCAAGTCAAATGTCATGAGTCTACATAATATATTATCGCCCGGAGTCACGGATAAGGTGACAGTGAACTGTTATTCGTTAATTATATTTATCGATTTGTAGAGCAAGTTTAGAGCAAATATTTAGAGCTGTTTGTGATTACAATGTTGCTTCAGGGTCACCTCAAGCGATTATTAGTTGTTTATCAAAATCTGTGCTGGTGTAATAACTTCAATTTATATATATGCTTTTCGCTGTAAACCATGGGTCAACCCTGATACAATATAACAGAGACTTCGACAACATGCTTCAAGATGCGTGGCAGCATCCACGTTCTGATGTCCTTGAACTGCAGTAATAACTCAAAAGCACGTGGCCCATGGACTACTGGTGCCTAGCTCCTGGTACTGCGTTGTCTCACACTAGTTTAGTCAAAAACGTGCATCGACCGTACAAGTCCGATATGAGCTACCCTTCTTGATGTTTGAAAAGCACTCTTATTTTAAACTGACGTTGAAAAACATCCCTCTGCGGTAGCCGTCACATAAAAACATCATACAAAATTGTATTTTTAACTTCATTCTGGGATGAAAACAAAAAGAAAACCTCAATTTAGACTATTTGCGGTTCGTTTAAATTTATTAAAACATTTCGCGACAGGTTTGGCACTACACAAAATTATCGGGTTTAGTATTCAGTGATGTACCAGCCGAACTGCTCAGGGTTCCCGTGGAAATCGCCATTGTGTCCATACGCTACACGATCGTGTGCCCAGTCAAGCGCACGGCCTAACTTCAGAGGCTGGTTGAATTCTTTGTTGACGATGTAGTATAAGTTCCTACCTTGAATTCTCGCGGGTACCAAATACCACCGGTATCTGTTATCTGTGGGGCTGTCACCCCCATATGCTGTATGATCTCCCGCGCTGTCAGGACTGTAAGCTAATTTCAGGTATTGGTTGCGTTCGACGCCGAAGATATGGAAGTATAGGCTGTTGTTTTCCCAAAGAGGCGTAAATCTCCAAGCAATACTTCTCAGGATGTATCCTGCGCCGTCCCCGTAAGCCATCCTGTCACCGCCTTCGTCAACTGTGCTGGCCAGCTTTAAAGCGAGATTGTCTTGTCTATTCATCAATTTCATAAATCTTTCGTCGAGGATCCTTTCAACTTCCACGGGGAAGGATTCCCTGACAATCATAAATCCCCCATCACGATTGAGCCTATAGGCGAAATCGAATAAGTTCCTCACGTTGTTTTCGAAGAGTCCATCGATAGCTTCTTTGATGAGGTCGTCCCTGTACTCGCTCTCCAGTTCAAATGCGGTCTGGACAGCCCCACCATAGTTACCGGCGGTGACATCATCAATTAGGCTGGCGACGCGGTGATCGCTGTAGGCACAAACCATGGAGGCGAGGCCTAAGAATGCGAACGCAGCCCCGAAATGCATCTTGATAAGTGAAAACCTAGGGGTGAAACATTATTATTTGATGTAAATATGTAGTACGTATTGTAAATATTTTTATATTAACGGTAAGACTAGAACTCGCATAGTATTTTGGACTACGTAAGGAAGTTACTCATCAAACGTGGTGTCAACGTCATACCGCAAATTTACTGGCCAGAAATCTCGCATAGTGACTTATTCCAAATGATAATATCGTCTATATTTTACAATCGCATACAAAGCTGCCGGGGCTAAATTAATCTTTTTTCTCGGGAATAATTATGTTGTTCCAGAAATCATTTCTATTATTTTACACAGCTGAGACTTTGAGATCGAAACCATAACCAAGAGTGCGACATTCAAATGGTTTAAATTTGCCTTGCCAACCGCATTTCTAATATGACAAAATAGTTTTAAAAAGTATTATTTACCTTCTGTATTAGCTGGAATTCTTGACTTCCATTCAAGACTGTAATTAGATTAGATCATACTGGCGCTTATATACTCCCATCAAAATCTTATCTAGTAGAGGTCAAGTTATCTCTAACCAAAGAAGGCAAAGGTTCACGCAAACTACAAATGTACAGGGTGTGATCAAATCGGTCCTATAAATAATCAAAGATAAATAATAGTACTGGTAAATAGATTAAATATTGATAGTTCAGCTTAATAAGGCACCCGTATGGTTAGACAATAGACTGCTTACGGACTAAATATTATGTAGAACTTGTATTCCATGAAAAGATTGCCAAAGAATAATCTAGAATAATCACTGGCAAAGTTCCCATGTGACTGTGTAATTTTGTTGTTTATTGTAAAAAAACTAGTGTATGCTTAAGTAGATTTAAGATATTTGTCTCCATGCCAGAAACGAAGAGGCTTAAAAAGGGGTTAACAAATTTGGAACATACCGGAATCATCCGGATGGTTGTAATTAACCACTCACGGATCGGCAAACTAATATTTCGCCAAAATACGAAATGTCTTTAAGGTTAAGAAAATCGATCACAACACAAAAATCACACTATATATAGGTACATATGTACATACTCGTATTTATATAGCTCGAAGGACGCAGTGCCTATCTCTAGCCAATGTCTCGTAAGGATCCGATAAGCATCAAGGTTATCCGATATTGTTAAAGAGAATAATACACTCTCTTCAGATACGCAATTATTTGGCGCCCTAACAAAGATGTCCGTATTGTAGTTTGCGTTTTGTTAATGCATTGTCCGTTGTCACATCTAAACTATTCAAATGTTTGAACGCTTTTTTTTTTATTAAACAAATTTGACAATGTATTTTTTCATTAATATTTTAGTTGTTACTTGCTTGAAGTATTCTATAAAAAAGAGTCTATATATAATATGCTTCAAAGATAATGTATTAATGACCTCTTGACTCATGTGGTTGACAACTTGCAGTCATTGCTTACTACAAAAATGATCAAGTTTACAAAATGCCTACCTCATTAAAAACTATTACTATAATTAAAAATAATAGTATAGCAATTCGTCTAACAATACTTTAAGGTATGTTCAATAATATCACATATCTTTGATAGATCATTAAAATTTATTTCATTTTTTTTCCCATACCTATGCTGATAGCCTTGAGAGACTATTTCAGCTTCTCATTGACGTGTAGGTGAGCTCACGGGGCTCAAACCGGGAGTGTTGCTAACACTGACCCTAGCAAGAGCAGTGCTTCGCAAAATCTACTAGCGGATCGGAAACGCGACCTGCTGAGAAGATCCGGCGAGAAACTCAATGGGCTATGTCTGTGGGTTAATTTGCTCGTCGAGCCCTTCGTCGCAAGCGACGGGTTCGACGAGGACGGTGACAGTTCTTTCATAATAACGTTACAAAACATGAAAACCGAAAGTATTACATTTGAAAGTCCCCAAAAAAAGGATAAATGTGTGACGACAATATATTATACATATATTAAGTCGCTTTGGCGCCAACAATGACCGGCGGCCATTTTTTTTTGCGTTACGTTACTGCAATTATCGAATAGTGTAGTTGAGTGCACATCTTAACTTGAATCTTTGAAGGGTAAGTACCTACTGTGGGGCAATTATAGCGTACTTAAGTTACACTTTCACGTGTCATTATTACGCCCGATTTCAGCTGAAGTATGTGCGTAGAGAGTGATTCGGTCAATAATCTCAGTCGGACTATTAATTATTATTTTATATATTAATACGTGAAGCAAAAACTTGGTATCCCTTTTTATGAAAATTGCGCGGACGGAAATTTTGCACACTTATAGAGAATATAGAGAAGAAGTGCACAATGCTAATATTTTTTCAAAATAATGCATAAAAGATACATTAAATCAATAAAGAAAACATTACACACACTACATTTAATGTATTTGACGCACACACGCATGCATACCTACTATTTATTGTCAAACTTTTGTTCTTGACGTCTGTTGTCAAATTGAGAATAGATTAAATATTGTTTGTCTTTGTTAATATTTTTATAGTATAGTATTGGTGAAATTTGTGATTATAGAAGTATAAAATACAATCATAATAGTGTACAAACTTACAATTCCAATTAATTATAGTCGAATTTCGACTACTGCGGGACCTCTAGTTTTATTTATTGAGTATAAAAATTTTATAGATTAGCACAAAGCATTGCAATTAGCACGTACATTAAATGCTAACACATTACAGGTACTGAACACGTGCATTGGTGTAACAAGTGAGTCGTTTTTTTGTTTTAAATACAGATTAGACTTGTTAGTTCTTATACGTTTATTGTATAGACTTATTGAAGATAATTAAATAAACTATGATTAATTGCGACCAAAATGCGATTTTGTTTTTTTTCCTCGGATGGCATTATGATGATGATACAGGGTTACCAGAGCCCGTAGACATCAACAAGGTAAAAACCGTTATTCCCTTAAGAGACATGACTTTTAAGTGTCAGTTTGTACAGTACAGCTGCTCCATTCTTCAAACCGAAACGCATTACTGCTTCTCGGTAGGAATAAGTAGAGTGGTGGTATATATCCGTGCGAGCTCACGAGACGCCCTACCATCAGTAATTTAACTGGTAAACTCCTAATCTAAGAGTTACAATGGTTTTCTTAATATTCGTTTTCAAAATGAGAATACAGATTACTTTCATTTCTATAAAAAATGCTTTGCAATCTTAAATTTAAATAATAACAACATTGAATTTCACAATATCAATCCTGATACGTAGGTACGTCCACAGCTCAGGAAACAATTTCTTCTAAAACAACACAATAAAATGAGCAATTGTTTTTTTTCTTTTCTCTGTAAAAACAATTGTTTAAATTCATCGTACAAAGTAGAGCAGACAACCAGGAGAGCATAGCGAGCAGGAGCCGTCCTGTAACCTAACACTGTGCCTCCTGTCCCCTCACCCCGCGCGCCGCCCGCGCCCGCTCAATACACGACGAAGGCTCGCATTATACCACAAGCACCCAGCTAATTTTTCATGTATTACGACGGTAGAAATGTGTTACTCGCATTATACATTGATTTATTACACGAAATTGATTGCTTAAATGAAATTTTTGTCTCTCTTTGTAAGTGTGGATTAGTTGAGGGTTACCCTGGATCACATTTTCTTCGACTGCTCCAATATCATATCCCCTCTATATGATATCCTTCCAAAAGACATTCCCTGGCCGATTAGTATTAATTCTTTATTAACTTTAGTCTATTCTAGACATGTAAATATTCTGTGTAAATTTTTATCTGCTAATAATATTTATCTTTACAGTAGTTAGCCTAACATAATATTATATTATATTTGTTTGTGCTGCTCTTAAAATCACAGATTCGCGTATGCAAAAACTGATAAAATTTATTTGGTGCTTAGTTTTTTTTTTTTTCTCTCTAAGGACCTGTCATTTTTGTACGTACTTGGACATTGGAAAAATCAATGCCAAAGACCAGGAGCCAAATCATTGTTTAATAAAAAAAACTTCGTCTACTTTCGCGCTTCGTAACATATTAAAAAATATTTACAAATGCATTTATTTTGCTTCTCACGAAGACGTTATATTACGTTTGCTTTTTGAAAATTAAAAGCTATTAAGTCGTTTATGTTCGTAATTATTATTTGAAATGTAAAACCTGTAAACAAAGCTAATTTTTAAATCATAAATTTTCCAATCTATATAAACTACTGGCTGTACCCGTCCGCTTCGCTGGCCACTTAAAATTAACATTATTGTTTCTCACCCCCACAAAGATTCTCCTCATTAACGGCCCCGCAACTGGTGTAGGAAATCCAACACTCATATAAATATTAGCCTATCCATTAAGTACATGTATTTTCTACATGGATACCAAGTTTCAAGTCAATCGGATGCATGGTTCAATAGTTATAACGGAACATCCGTAAAAACCACTGTAGATTTATATATTAGTATAGATAAGCATGTTGTTCTTCAACGGAGAATAAAAACGATGTAAGAAACAAAACAAAGTGATAAGCAATTAACACTATCTTTAATATTTTTAGTTAATAAAGTTTATGATGATAAACTTAGGGCATACCTACGTAATTATCAACATTGATATTAAGCATCTGGAAATCGCAAATACACTGGACTACTAAAGCTATAAAAGCTCTATCTACGTAGCCTTAAAGCTTCAATCTACATTGCATATAGACTAAATTTAATTTACATATTGCGTTCATCGCGAATAAGATGACTTAATACAAAAGAGGAAACAAACCAGATCGATTTTTACAAAACTAAAATAGAAAATATTTATTATTTATTATTGCGTTATTATTGCATGGTGCACTACAGAATGGAGCCGTCCAAACAAGGTGCAGATCCCGTCGGCCCCGTACAATCACTTACGCAATTGTTTAAACAATGCTTCAGTAATAAAATATCGTATTACGGCACAATTAAATGAGCATCCTGCGTTAGAATGCCAATATGCTGCCATCGCCTCGGCGTATGGGGGCTGCATAATAGGGTACTTGCATAAC